CATTGGCACTGACAGGGTGTTATTGTTGCCCCACCCCCACCCAAAGCTCTGTTCGCCCCCTTCAGTGGGAGCACAACCACAGTTTGGGGTAATTGCTGGTTCTAATTAGTTCACACACACACGTGGTCATACACGCTCACATAAACCCACAGATATATGCAAAAACACTGATTAAATGCCCAAATTCTATTAAAGGGAAGCTTTACTGAAACAATGACAGGCTGCATCTCCAAAGCATTGGAAGCTTTACTTTACTTTACAATGACAGGCTGCATCTCCAAAGCATTATTGTTCATTTCCAAATGAATAGAAAAGCAAGATGTAGTTAACAGCACAGTTATGGTGAGAGGTTGGTGGTGGTGGAGGAGAGCCAGCAGGTGGAGGCCTTACAGTGTCCCTGGACATCATGGAGGCATGATGGTGATGGAGAGAAGGTGCATTTAGCAACTGTAGGTTTGAAGGACAACCAGGCAGAATTACTATAATATTTAAAGAACACAGCAAGTGATTGACCTGACGAACGCAGACAGAAAGATGACTGGTCAGCTGTGGTGACATCAGGACTGGAGGTGGAGGGAGGTTTGACAGCTTGCTGAAGCAGAAGTATAAGAGTAAATAGGCCACATTAACCCACTGAGGAACCTTATGAACCTTATGACCTTCTGCCTAAGCTTCATAAAAAAAACTGGTGTTACCAGGCTGTGAGCACATGCTTCAAAATGTTTGAGTTGTTCTTCTGTAAAAAACCTGGAGGCTGGAGGTTGTTTTGGTACAACCTGAACCAACTCTCAGCTGCTGCGTCTGCTCCATCAAGTCCTGTTGCTTTAAGCTGCAGGCTGTTGTCATGGAGGCTGTAACCTGATAGTAATCAGGGCTTCGCAGGGGGAATACATGTAAGCACCTCCACTTGAAATAATCGCCAGAGCGTGGCCTTGTTTGCTCCCAGGGGCCCCGACTCCACCACAACCCTGATTTAATCTGCTCATTATTACACGGAAAAATACTGACAAGATACATCAGCAGGTCTGGGATTTGTCTGTGTGGCTGCATCTGCCTGGAAAATTCACAGTTCAGCTTTGGGCTATTTACTGTACAATACAAACTTTGGTGTTTGAACAGAAACAAGATTCCTTTTGAAAACTTTATGGTAAAAGTGTACAAAAATGGATCTCAAAAGATCTGAAACTCTCACCTTGTAATTGTGATTATTGATTATATTATTGATTATATGTGTCTTTTATTGTTTTTCTGTGTATTTGTTTCTTCTTGAGGTGTTTATTATAAGTCCAGTGACATGTGATTACCAGCCTGCTGTGACCTCTGACCTCCAAACTACTGGTAGTATGTGCTGGGTTAATTATTAAGTGAAGCTGTTTCAGTTGTCCCTCTCACTGAGAGTCACTCGGAGGAAATGATTCAAATCCATATGAACATTTTTCTTTTATGTGTTTGTCTATTTGTACCTCAGCTGTGCATCTGTAAAAAGTGGGGAAATGACACAAAGCATCAACAGATGTTCCCTCAGTTCTGACCAGTCTCCCTGTCTCCCTCCATAGCCTGGTGCTGCTCCACCATGCTTCACTGTAGTGGTGGTGTTAGCAGGGGGTTGAGCAGTTCTGCCCACAGAGCTCAGGTTCTGTCTCCTCAGACCAGAGAGTCTTTGTCCTTTAGCTTCATTCTGACAAACTCCAACGGCTTCATCAGCCTTTCAGTGACTTCTGTTCATAAAGAAGCTGCTGAGACACTCGTCCTCCAGCATACGACGTCTGAAGCTCTGTCAGAGGGACTGCTGGGTCCTTGTCTGGAGCCACAGCACAGGCTCTAGAGATGTTTGTAAAGGAGAAAAAAAGGCCCAATCTGATTAGTGTTACTGAGTAAAGTGATGAGCATTTCAATTCTAAATAGCTATTATGAAATTACAATTTCAAGCCTTAGTGTCAGAACTTGATATCATCAATCCACAAAACCCATTAATTAAATTACTGAGCTTAAACCATCAGTGTACAACACTGTCCATCTCGTGTAAACGTAGTAAAGAAAGCTCAGCTCAGTCCATCCCACTGCATAAAATGCTTGTAGGGCTTTGAATGTGGACTTGTGTAACTGCAATCAGTGTGGGAATGTTCAGTCTGTAACACTGCAGGTGTGTGAATATTTGTGTGACCTGCTGTGTGTGCACTGATGTTGGAACCAGCGAGTGATGTGGATTCATTTTCTGAACCACGGCGCCACCTAGGGTCCAAAACCAAACAGACAGCTGTTGGAGCCACTCAAGTCAGATGCATGTAGGGAGGTCATGTCCTTGGTTTCATTACCTGAGTTCACACACAAATTACACATGAATGTTTTCACACCACCTATTTAGATTTGAGCATTTCCATAATGTTTGAATCAAATAAATGAACATCATGTTTCTCCACCAAAGTATTTTCCTGTGGAGAAACATTTTGAAACAGCATGTCACTGTGCATGGAGAGAAAATGTCCAAAAATTATAACAATTAGCAGGGAGATCAAAAATACTTTATCATCCAGTCAAACGAAAAGTAAAAATTAGGACTTTATGAGACCATGGACACAGTCAAGATTCAGGTTTTGTATTGGTGAGTGTCTGTTTCTCATCCTGTCACATGGCGACGCTGAGCTGACTGATAATAAGTCATAAAAATAACAAAATAATATGATAAAATCATTTCTGTCCACATCTTGAGACAACATTTACTAAACCTAGGTTATTTGTCTTTAAATAAAAGTAGTCTTACATTGGATTTTGTGTGTTCATTTATTTTGTGTTTGATTTGATAAAACTGTTCAGATTGCATTTTCTAATTCCATCACTGGATTCACCGGTGTTTGAGCCTCTTCGCTGACTGTTTGCAGATCTGTCCTTAAATTATGATCTTCATAGTATTTAGCATTTACTGGTAAATGGTCTGCAGTGCATTTCTAGACACTGAAGTGCACTCAGAGTGCTTTACGTTATTTCCTACTCACCCATTCACACACCTGTGTCATCACTGAGAGCGACGTGGGGTTCAGTGTTTTCCTCAAGAACACGTCAACATGTGGACTGGACAAGCCAGGGATTGAAAGTCGACCCTACAGTTAGGGGATGACCTGAGCTCCCTCCTGAGCCGCAGCCTCGTGGCCTCACGCCACATTTAACATGTAAGGACATGTAGTATGTTTTTAGACTCCTGCACAAGCTTTTGTTTACTTAAAACTCAAGTATATCTGCGTATTTGAAGGTAAAGATGTGTTTGTATATATGTCCATGCTGTGTACTCACCATTCCTCTTAAAATAATAGCATTCTGTTTTGTGAAAACAACAAAATTTTAATATATTTTTATTACCACAATTGTGAAAAGCACAAAAACAACTATATTATGTTATTCAGCAGTCACCTCTAATGATATACTACACCTAACGTATGGTTATAATACAGTACAGTACATCTCTATAAATCACCAGCAGGTGGCAGTAAAAGACCAGGAATAAAAGAGTACCAACCTTCTGCAGGAAGTCTCCACTTTGAGTTTCCACCGTCTACTGAGCATGCTCAGTTCCACCCAGACTGTTGAACTGAAGTGTTTGTAGTCAGAGTTTAGTCCCTCTGTGGCCTCAGTCTCGTGCAGAATGGTGAGTTCACACTCCACTACTTTTGATTAAGAAGTGATGACATCTAAACAGAAGCCATGTGTCTGATATCTGCTTGATTTAATGCACTCAGCAGGTTTGTTTCTACATGATGTGCAGCCCTTAAAGCTAAAAACCTAAATTTTGTTCTCAAAAAAGGTGTAACTTTCATATGACTCTTATTTTCACAAAGTGCTCTCTCTGCTTTGTTTATTACCAATTAAAACCAAACTGCTGCAGAGGAAATAAAAGGTCCCATTAAACATGATTTACTGAGGGTTCTTTGAGTTCAAACTCTGAGCCTGAGAAACAAAATGGTGTCTCTAAAACAGATGTCTGATGAGCCCGTGTCCACCAACGCCGCTGCTGATAAAGAGCCATAAAAGAAGTTTGTGTTTCAGTGTCAGTTTCAACCCTGAACCCGCTGCCTCTTTCTGTCTCAGCACAGTCGCTGAAGCTCACACTGTGGTGGACTTTAACATTTAACCTTTACTCTCAGAGATATTTCCATTATTTACTTCTACTCCACATTAAAGAAGGAAATATTGGACTTCTTACTCCATTACACTTATTTAGCTACTTTTCAGACTTCCATGTGAGCACATTAATTCAGTTCTACAGGCGAAACAGCCCAACAGTTGTTAAAATTAGCCTCATATAGAAAACGGTCTCTGCACTTCTTCCATCTCTGTTTCTACTCAGCACTGCTGCTCTAACCTTTTATAAGGAATTCTGAGAAAATGTAAATATAGAAGCAGATTTTCAAACAGATTCAAATAGAACATTTCAGTAATCTGGTGATTATTAAAACCACAAAGAACCAGTGTTGACTCTTTAACGTGTGGAGTAAATAAATGTCAGGTTACGTCGTGTTTGCTCCTCGTCTCTGGCTGTTTTGTTTTTCAACCTGCAGATCAGTGTGGACTTCACTGATGTTGAGTCACATGACCCCCCTCCACCCGGTCAGAGGTCAGACTGGTGTTTGGTTAAAGACCTGAACTGGCCACACACACACACACACACACACACACACACACACACACACTCATAGAGTTGCTTTCATGGGGGACTTGCATTCATTTCCTCCAGACTTAAGTGCCCACAATGCACGTAGACACACACACACACACACACACACACAGTATCTATTCATCTTATCTAGTGGTGTGGGGCTGGTGCTCAGTCACCACCAACACAACCTGTGTGTCTCTGGACTGTGGGAGGAAGCTGGAGTACATGGGGAGAATATGTACACACAGAAAGCCCCAGATTCAAACCCTGAACCTTCTTGCTGTAAGGCAACAGTGCTAACCACTGCAGCACCGTGTCACCAAAATAACAAATTAAACCATCTTTTCCCCAGAGTTCAAAAAAAATCGTCCCTGCAGGTCCATGCTGTCCGGTTTGGTCCAGGCCAGGAGCTGCTGGGCTCTCTGCAGGCGTTTGTGGAGGAGCGGCAACTCAGAGCACCGTTCATCATCACCTGTGTTGGCAGTGTCACCAAAGCAACACTCAGGCTGGCAAACGTTACGTCAACAAACACAAACGAGGTGCTTTGTTGAAGTTGTTGTATATGAAAGAGAAACTTTTTCTTCTGATTCGATTTTGACTTTTTGTGGAAAGTCTAGATAAATTATGACTGTAAATCACTGAAAATATTTAAAATCTTTGTTTGAATGTGTGAAAACACACCGTCAGCACTTTCAACTGCTTTTTCTCTATACTATAAACAAGGTTATGTTGGTTTGTGCGACTTTAAGTAAACTTCCTCAGTGCGTTTACAGCAGCACCCGTGCTGGCTGCTCATGGTGTTGGCCTTTCCCCGCAGGTGATCCACCTCAGCGGCCGGTTTGAGATCGTCTCTCTGGTTGGCACACTGAACCCGGATGCCCACCTCCACATCTGTCTGTCAGACAAGGAGGGCAGGACGGTCAGCGGTCATGTGCTGGGGGACCTGGAGGTGTTCACCACAGCTGAGGTGGTCGTGGGCGAGGCGGTCGACCTGCAGTTCACCAGACAGATGGACGTAGGGACGGGTTTCCCTGAACTTGTAGTTCAGTCACACTCCCAGGTGAAAGAATGAGCCTGACTGGACTGGAGGTATCAGCTCCGGTGTGGCTTTTGTTGGTTAAAGTGATCGGTGCCAAAAAAGAAGTGATGAAACAAGCTGTGCCTTTGATACTATGAGCTTTGAACAGTAAACAGGAAATTATTTTTACATGTTTCAAAATGAAATCTCGTCCATTTCAGAGTGATCTGGATGGAGCATAAGGTTTCCTCCAGTCATGATTAAAGACACGGACAATGTCTCTGCTATGAATAAAAACCTGGCATCTCATAGTCTTTTTATATATAAAAATCCATTTGAAGATTTAAAAATTTGTGCATAAAAATAAGTGATTGGTGAAGTGAATATAAAAAATTAACTTTGACCAATAAATAGAATAAAGCTTCATGGTAACATCTGTCTGCAGTCAGTCAAAAGTCTCTGAAGTTGATTTTTATGGCTGCCTGGAAGAAAATCACTCCATGTAAACTAAACAAATGCTTTGTAAAAACATTTATTTGCCATCAGTGAATAAAAAAAATGCAACAACCACCAGTTTGGCCCCAGTCAGGACGGAGAACCAATGATTTCTCCCCAGCACAGCGATGCCTTTGCCGGTCTTTGTGCTGTTCAGCGTGAGGACGAGGCCTCACGTCAGCAGGGCAGCCGCCCGGCCGCCACATTAAAGCAGAGCCTCAAAGCGTCCCCGCTGCAGCTTTGTACTTTTGTTGTGTTGTGTTGACGCAGCATGGTGGCCGAGAAGCGTAGGTGGTCTGCCCCAGGGCCCCCCGGGAGGCAATTTTTGGACACGCAACTAAAGCAGCTCTGTTCTCGATCCTGACAAATTAGAAGACGAGGCAGCAGCCCAGAGCGGATGTTCTGGATTTGAAACATACACCACCTTTTGATCTAAAGACCATCTTTGATTCTCAGCTTTTTTTTTTCCTTTTGCTGTAACTGGCATGTTTGCCCAGCAGAGCTGATTAGACATTCAGTGTTGTTTTCCCCACACACACTTTGTTAGATTTTCACCAAAAAAGAGAGCTATGCTTATTTGAGATATCTGTGAAAAATAAGTTTACAAGTAATGTTTGTTTATTAATGTTCCTCAGCTGGTGTCCTGCTGTGAAGCACCACATACGTTTGACGGTGAGACTCCTTGATAGGGAGTTACCTTTTAAACAGTGCACAGCTGTAGTGGTTGTGTTCACACTGGAGCTCAGTGACAAACACGATCGTCCGTTTATTCCACCAGGAATAAAAGCTTTCTCTTTAGGATTGAGCTTTGCTCTGGTGAGTTAAAGTTTCATGTCCAGTTTGTTGCAGCCTCAGCCTCCTGTAATGTGATTTTTGTTCTGTGATCTGATGCTTTTTGAGAAAAGAGTACACATTTTTTGGTACATAGGTAGAAACCTATTAAGAATTTATTGACACAAGACTGTAAGAGCTGTAACAACAATGCAAAGAGCAGAATCCTCACTGCAACTGCATTTCTTCTACATCTGTTCAAAGTACATTTTATTGCAAACATGCATCATTTGTATTCAGAACAATCCAGATTTTCACTGTATGTGTGTGTCCATGACTAACAACTGAAGAAACTTGGAACAACTTCCCTGAGCGGTGACAGCGACGGCTCTGATGTTTTGATCTGTGTTGTATTTGTCCGGCCCCTTCGCCTCACGCTGTCGACAATCAAAAAGAGCTGGGTGTCATTAGCTGGGGAGATGTTTGGCTGCCACATGAAAGCCTGTGGATCAGGAGCGGTGGCTCCCTGGGGGTCGGGGGGGTGGGGGGTAAAAAACGTGTCCCAGCCACTGTGGCTTCTCTTGTTCTCCTAACCAGAGGCTGTTAAGCAGCCAACTTACAAATGACTTGGGCTGGGCTTGTTAGAGGGGAGGCGGGGTGGGGGCAGCTTAACAACAACACAGTCGCTGCGCTGCTCACACAGCTCATTACTCAGACCGATAACACAGCCAGGGAGACAAAAGGCAACAGGGAAGAGAAGTCACTAATGAGAAAAAGAGCAGAGGACTTACGAGCATCCATGCTGTCACTCAGAGACGCTACTGATTCACCTGAGCAGAGCAGAGAGAGAGCAGCTGGAACTGTGAAGGCTGGGCTGTGTCTGACAGGAAGGTTCAAGGTGGAGGTCACAGAGAGGGGGAGGCATAACTGCTTGAATACAGAGATAAAACTGTGCATTTTCAGACAGTCTCTCCTGGAAGATGTTCATAGTGTTGCACTCTTCGCCCCAAAGTGGACCAACCAGCCAGTCACATACACTATGTGCACCATCACTGGTAGGTTAAGGTACAGTCACTTTACACCTCCGTCCCATTCAGAAGAATTCAAGTATGTGTATCAGAGTTCATCTTAGTTCAGCTTTCAGGATGATTATGTGGAAATGGGGTAGAACCAGACTTAAACCAAAGCATCTTTAGTCATGGCTGAGCAGAAGCACACTGAAGAGAAGGCTGTTTTTATTAAACATAATATAAATACAGGCAACAGTCAGCTCTACTTTACCACCTGTGTTCACTCATAAATGGCGTCAAGAGCAACAAGGCTAAAGGGACAACAATGATGGTGGTGAAGTGCAAAACTAGTAATGTCATTGTTTTGCTATGTGGAGAAGGCGATGAACCGAAACAACACAAGGTATAAAATTTAATTCAAATTTAATGTTTAATTCTGTGCAAAATTGATGAAAAGCTATGAGCATGTGCGGACCAGTGTGATCTGGCAGGTTTGCAAATAAGAACCTCATATCTTTTCTAAATTTGTCATGTGACTGTTTCCATGTTGTACTGAGCCGCTGTTCAAATAGAGTCACTTCCAGGACGCTGATTGACGGTGACCCTCACAGTGACCTTTTCAGACCCAACCCGAGGGGCCTCGGCGCTGCTGCAGCTGTTCTCCACCAGGGGGCAGCTCGAGTCCAGAAGTCCCACAGACGATTTTACACGTTGCTGTGTGCTCTTCAGATGTGACACAGGGTTTTTTATGTGCGTAAAGCCAATTCTGTGAATTTAGGAGACTGATCTTCATGATCCAGTCATATGAACACATTAGTTATTAAGTGATGTGTACAAGAGATTTAACAGAATTTGTTGTATTCACCAATTCATGAGTGGCCCAGACCTTTGGTAGGAGGAGAAACGTAAGGTCAGCTTGACTCAGCAATAATAGTGGCTTAATGTGAATGAATCTGGAGTTTAAATATGATACCAAAATGGATTTAATTAACATTTACAGTACACCGCATGCTAAATTATATAGACGTAGTTTGAACAGTAGTTTTAATAAGATAAACAGCACACTCTGCCAGAACAGAATGAGGCCAAACACGGGTATTAACAAACATAAATGTCTGTTGTTTTCATGAGAGGTTTTACCTCCAGTTTGTTCCCATTCCTCTGTTTAACTGTTCTGTGTTTTCAAGGCCAGAGCAGCTCTGTTGTTTGGGAGAGTATTATCAATGAAGTGTTGGTTAAATTGCTGCCTGCTCTAATTCACTTTTCATTATTTAATCCTGTAGGCAGTTATTTAGATCAATACCAACCGGAGAAGACAACAAAGGCAGTCGACCAGGAGGCCGATGTCTCCGAGGACAAAGTTATAAAGGAAACTGATAGAATGTTGTGCTTAAGGCCATGAAACAAATTCAGTTCTACATTTTAAGATAAAAATCATAGTGTATTCTGAAGTATGGCAGCTCACTCTCCTAAGTTCTTTGGGAAATTCAACAAACAGCCTGATGAAGGTAAAGCTGTCCTAATGGAAGCACCACTAGAAACAGTTAAAGGTTTTATCCTATGAATGTCAAGTCTTGTATGAACCTATAATAATAAGTTGTAATTTATTAGTTGATTATATGATGTATTATTAATCCCCCCATCAAAACAAAGATTTTGAGCTTGTCACAAACGTGGACAAACATTTTGAGCTGTGGTGCTGTGGCTGCTGAGAACTGCTGCATGCACCACCTTTCAGTTTTCACCATTCTTCCTCAGCTGGTTGCTACATTTGTTGCTGCACTTGATGTTGAGGTGTGTTAAACCAGAGTAAACTGTGCAGCAGTCACAGGGGGGCAGCCACGTTTGGGTCCCCCTACTGAAACTGCAGCAGTAAGATTATAATTCTGCGCTTTAGAAATGTTTGTATAAGTGAAGCACAGGCGGCAGGTCGGCCCGTCTGCAGCAGAGAACGCTTCCCTTTTGAAAATGTGTGGTGAACTTCCATTAACAATAATTGAGTCCCACTCCAGTGAGACGCTAACAAGGGGAGGAGGGGGAGGGGGGGCATGTTGTCATTAAAATGCCTTCTCCTTTAATGTGCAGGTAAGGACCCCTGGCTGTCGCAGCTCACCAGGCCCGCTGCCAGGGCCATCTCTCGCTTTCAAGTGAGCGCCTTAATTGAGACAAATTTAGCTCAATTAAACCGCTTTGCCTCTGCCAAGAGTGTTTCAGAGCATCAGTGCTACATACAGAGCGGCCTTTTCAATTAGGCGCCGTGAGCAGATTCACCACTGATCCTATTACTGTTTGGGTTTGTGACTGTGAGAGCGAAAGCCTGCCCGGACAGCATGACCACAAACATCTGGAATGGAGATCAAGGACAAATAAAACCAAATTAAACTGAAAATGTTTGAATGCCATATTTGTTTTGTGTAATGAGGTGTTTTCCTCTGTAGTACTTATCTAGTTATTTCAGTAGAGGTTTGAGTTTTTCCACCAATGATGACCCAAACAACCAAAACCAAAATGGCACCAGTCACACTGTAGCTGAAACATCAGTGTTTCAGCTAAAAGGAAACAACTGAGAAGTAAAATATGAGACCGTGAGCATTTCATCAGTTGGATTTTTTTTACTTAAAAAAAGCCTGAAAGCTGGAGGGTTTGTATTCCTGCAGCACAATGAACAGAAACTGACTCAAAGACACTCAGATTCTGCCAGCGGTCGAGGACAGCCACAACCTTGGAGCCACAAATTGCTGTATTATACCATGTGAATTACTGCTGAGCTTTTCAGATGCAGGCTAGGGATCAGCTAATCAAAGGTGCAAGGACGAAGGAGCGCTAACACGTTTAGCCAGTGTCTTTTGTTAGCATGACTGTACAATTTGAATTGGACAAAAACTAAAGAAAAGAGATTCTTCTCTGTTGACTTGTTCTTTTACTAAACACCGAGTAATGAGATGATTCATATCTTATGTGTGAAACGGTCCTAGTGTGTGAGCATTAAAGTGTGAAACAATCTGAAGACAGAAAATAAAGGAGATTAAATGTTGTTTAAATTTTTAAGTGAGCTGCAGAGTGAAATCTTTTTTTGCTTGTGCTTTAGGTTCTAGTTGAATATGCAGGCATGTGTGTACAGTTGTGTTACTCATGTTGTGTGAACATAGATCTGTTTACATGGTCATATTGTGGGGACTCAACTTCCTTTGGGGGACAAAAAGTAAGTCCTCATAATGTAAACCATTAGATTTTAGGGTGAAGACTTAAAGCCAGGTTATTTATTTATTTAACCTTTATTTAAACCACACTGTGAATAAAAATCTCATTTTAAAAAGTTTCCTGGTCAAGACAGGTAACAACTATCATGACAACATAATGGAATGAGACTAGATGAGATGAAAGCTCATAAACACACACACACATACAAAAGCCTGAATTCTGTTTTTCATTCTGGTTACAATGGTGATGATCGACCAGGTGAGGGCGCTCTCCCTCTTTCAGACATCCACAGTTTAGAGGAACTCAAATAAGGGGATTAATGAAAAATCACTTCACATGCAATGTGAGAAAATGACTGAATTAGTTTTTGAACTTGTTTTCAACCTGTTTGCTTTAACTCCTGTAATGCTGCAATTGAAATTTTATTCTGAAATCCTGCTCCAAGTGGATTTTGGTAAAAAAAAAGAAAAAAGTATATATATATATATATATATATATAAACAGTCCTGCTGTGTAGTTCTCTCTTAAAATGTATCCTATGCAGCTCTCCATTGCCACAAACACCAAAACGATGGCTTCATCCTATTACCTGCACCTCTGGCGTAAATGTTTATGGAAATGGCCCGTCGGAGTAGGCCAAGTGTTTTCCATCAGCAGCTCTTTGCAGTAATAATACTGCAGTGTTGATGTCAGACCCGCCCTGCCTGAAGAGAGGAGGCTAATGGCCGTCCCCCACCCCTCCTGCATGATCCAGAGAGGAGAGGAGGCAAAAAAAAATGTAATTCACCTTAAATGTGGTGCTGCTGGGATGAGAAGTGAGAGGGCATCTGTTCAGAGTGTCCCCATTAAAGGAACGTTATGTAAGATCAGCCTGCAGATGATGGAGATTCAAACACAGTACAGTTATGGGGAATATGGACACGAGTCAGAGCAGAGTCTTCAGGGATCACACCTTTCACACGTTTTGTTGTTTGTTGTTTTATACAGGAGCTCAGTTTCCATCTTTATCTTAAACAAGAACCAGCACATAGTTATTATTACCAGCTTGTGATCATTTCAGTTTTGTCTTAATGGAATTATTTTTAAACTAACTACTGATGTTTAATTCATTGTCAGCTAAGCAATGCAGAATTGCTTTGTTAGTTTGTCTTTTTTCTTTGGTTTTTCAATTTTATTAGTATTGAATTAATGGATATTTCTGGTGAATAGGTGTATAAACCTGTGACCTATGAGCTGTCTGTTTTGAAAATCTAACAGTAATCTAATAATAACATACTAACAATGTGCCTCAGTATCACAAAAGGTGAGTCTAAAATACAAGTCACTGAAAATGTCAAGAACTCAGAAGCATTTGCAGAAATATTCTGTCTTACACTTTATTTTAAGTATTTATTGAGTAAATCAAGCATTAGAAATATACTGCAAAGAAAGTCATCAGATAATAATAATAACTACATATGTAATAAAGACAGGAGTGATAGGTGAATAGAAGATATATAGATATTATCCTTCCCATGCAAATCAGACTGAAACAACATACAAACTTTTTATATTTAACACCAAAATTTATTATAAACAAACACATTTGTGTCCTTATTTGGCAGATGTTTTGTTGCAAAAACTACAGACAATTAAATAAATTAAAGTAACTGCCAAAGAAGAGAGTCGTGCTTGTTTATTTAATCATTTATAGTTTTAAAAATAATGTCTGGTCCAGTCTAAATTGCATTAGAGGAATAACTTCCACATTTCTATTCATATATGTTTTTTCAAATGATCTGTTTTTTTGTACTTTAATAACCCCTTCCTTTAACTTAAGTATATTTTACAGTTAGTTTCTTTTACATAGGCACAAATATTCTACATAATGTAATATATTTCTATTTTATATGCTTTATTTATCAATTATTGGAGTCCTTATTTGTGATATATATATATCCAATCCAATATAACAAATTAATACAATATTTTTTAAATGTTTTTCTACTAGGATATGTGCTACTTTATTGAATAAATCTACCAAAACTGTCAGCAGGTAGAGTAGGACTTTGACTTCCTTTTAACAGCGTGTTGTCTGCAGTATCGTTTCAGGCCACTGGGGTCGCTGTAGGCCAGGTGGCTCTCCAAAACACTTCAGAAACCTGTACATGAACTGGAAGAAGTAGACAACGGATATGGTCAACAGCATGTAGCCGTGTTGGCGTCATCCATAGCAAGTCTTGTGTTTTAATTGTGCTGTTTTAACGTTTTCGTACATTTTATAAACTAAAATAATAACGATTTATCATTTAAAATGGGAGTACCAGCGTTTTTTCGTTGGCTTAGCCGAAAATATCCATCTATTGTTGTACATTGTTTGGAGGAAAAGGTAAGGTGTTAGCATGTTAGCTATTGCAAGAGAGTATTTTCACCTGATGCGTTAATCGTTGTTTAACTTGGAGTTTAACGACTATTAATGTTCTGAATACACCCCTTTTCTCTGAAAACAGCTAGTGACGTGCCTTTTCTGCCGCTAATACTGTCTTGTCGGTGACTTTGTGTTTTAAATATTTCGAATCGTAACAAATGAACTAACTTACGACAACACTGGAAGTTTGTGGCCTTATCGGTGAAATTGTAACGTTAAGCTAAACTTGGAGGCAATTTGTCTTCTGTCTTTAGTCTACAAACAAAAGCTTCTAGTTTACTGTTTAACGTTAGTGGTAACCGTAAAGGTTAAGAACGATATCAAAAACCTATTTGCTGGTATAAAATGAACGTGCCTGCTAATTGTCTTGTCAGTTTCGAGCACTGTAGATGAAAGATTTGGATTTCACCGTGTGTTTTATTGTACTAATGGGACATAAAGCCTCCACTAACATACTTTGGTGTAACCTACAATACAGTTTCCCCTTAAGTACAGGTGACGTGAGGTAATTACAAACACCTGATGACAACAGGGCACCAGTCGTCCCATTGATTACTAAGTGTGTTGCAGGTTACAGCCTGCAGAAGGAGGTTTTATGCCGCTATTAGACTTTTGAATATAAAGTGTTTTTAATTTCTCATCATGAGAGCCATTTGAATAAAGGCTTTTTCTTAAGTTATTAGAGTGCCTTGGGTTTTTCTTTTTCCACTTGATTAATCAGATAACTTGATAAAATTAGCTAATTAATCGTTTCAGCTAACTGAAGTGATCCTGGGGCAAGATGTGTCAAGGTGTTTGTGTTTTACTGCCTCTGGGGGAAATGCGAGTTGTCTTACAATGAAGTGAATTGTTTGTGTTCTGTTTTACCTTCACAGGGGAAAGAATGTAATGGAGTCCGTGTTCCCGTTGATACAACCAAGCCAAACCCCAATGAGGTGGAGTTTGACAATTTATACTTGGACATGAATGGGATCATTCACCCTTGTACACATCCAGAAGACAAGTAAGGACCCCTCTCTGTGTAGTCGGGGCATTTAAGACTTTGCTATTTACTTTAGCAATGTTGTCTGTATTTTATTTGAAGACAAGGTTTGTTTTGACCCTGTGCTGTTCTCTGTGGTACGAATAGAAAGCCCCATCAAATTTGATAGAACACCCCCTTAAGGGGTAACTTCATTTGCGAACCATCCTTTTAAGATTTTGTAAAATGCAGTTAATAATTAAGCAATGCAACACGTACTTCTCAATATAGTTTCAACTTGGAGGGAAGTTTTCTCTACCACAAGAGTGTTGGGTCATAGTAAACAAGATGACTTTAAACTGCCAGGTGTTTAAGGGTGTTTGGGTAGAAACCCAGCACAGTCTCCACACAGTAACAGTCTGACCTCTATTCACAGACCTGCTCCCAAAAATGAGGATGAGATGATGGTGGCCATTTTTGAGTACATCGACCGCCTGTTTAATATCGTGCGGCCCAGGAAAGTTCTCTACATGGCCATCGATGGAGTGGTAATGTTCACTAACAGAAAACTACAACTCCTCACAATCACATCTCAAACTGAACGTGAGCTAGTTTAGGCATCTGCCAGATAATCTGATGTATAATGGAGTTTTCTGTCACATCACTCACTTGTCTCAGGTTTTTGTCTGTGGGGTTTTTTAACTTGATCTGCTTTGTTACCTGATAATGTTTCTTTGTTTTTATTGCTTGTCTGTATTCACCTTGCTGCAAACTGAATTTCCCCTCATTTGGGGAGAATAAAGATGGATCGATCAGTTATTCAGCCAAATGTTTTTCATATAGCCATAGATGGATACATTTATCCTAATAAAGTAAACTAATGGTGTCTCAGCTGATATAGACAAAACATTGCTTGTTGTTAGAATAGAACTAACACCCTGTTTAACCGTCACCAGGCTCCACGGGCCAAAATGAACCAGCAGCGCTCTCGGCGGTTTCGTGCCTCCAAAGAAGGAGTGGAGTTAGTGGAGGAGAAGCATCGCATAAGGGAGGAGATTATCCAGAGAGGTTTGCTCTGGTGTTATTCATTTGTACAGACAGATCCAGGCTTAATTGGGATGTTACCTTTTAAAAGAAGCATCATCCTCTGTCCTTTGAATCTCTTTGTGCAGTGATATTTTCAGGTGCTAGGTTGTGTTTAATATGCAGTATAGTGAACACTTCTCTGAGAGAGGAGGCACTCTTTGCTCTGGCCCTTAGTCCAGGCCAGAGACTTGAATTATTCACCGTCTGAAATAGCTGAAGTTTGAAGTCTTGAATAAATCAGACAGAACCTCACTTAAAGTCCAAAAGGAGAAGCTGCATGCCTCCATGAATTCTTTTACTTACAGTTGAAGTAATGTTTTTCTCTGTTGCTTATGCGGTTACTTGACTGTGTATTTGACCTGTTGTGATATTTAATCACCCTCAGTGTGACCTTACTGTTATCTGTTCCTCTTCAGGAGGTTATCTCCCACCTGAGGAGATTAAGGAGAGGTTCGACAGCAACTGTATTACTCCTGTAAGAGAAATCAGTGGCTTTTGCTTTGCTAGAGTTTCTTTAAACACTGTGTTTTACCTGTTACACTGATATTTATTGTTGCATTTTTGTTTGTTGGTCTTATTTGTTTTGATTTTGTCATGTATTGAAGTATTCAATGGTAACGGCAACATTATTGGATTTGATTTCCTCCGTCTCCAGGGAACAGAGTTCATGGACAACCTGGCACATTGTCTTCGATACTACGTCGCAGACAGACTCAGCAATGATCCAGGATGGAAGAATATTGTTGTGAGTGGAACTTTGCTGCTCAGGCCGTCAAATACAGCCAGAAATGTTATCAGCATGATCTCTTACTGCTTTTGACATTCTGTTGACAAAATATTTAATCGATCATCCTGAAAAATTGTGTGAAAATTGAACAAAAAATAATTTAAATTAGTTATTCAGGTGACATGTTGTCAGTGCTCATCACTAACGCTGTTATCTTTGATCCAGGTCTTCCTGTCTGATGCCAGCGTTCCAGGTGAAGGTGAACACAAGATCATGGACTTCATCAGGAGACAGAGAGGTAGAACTGCCTCATGCCAATGAACTTCAATTGCTATTTTATGTTTTGTTGCATTAAAAACGCATGAACACAGCACAAAGCATTAAACCCAAGTCTGAATTATACAACAACAGAGGAGTAAACATTCAAAGGGCCACAAATCAAAGCACTGCACAACAGTGACAAAAACACGAAGGGTGTGCATGTACAACACAAACCAATATCACACATGATTCAGTCAGACTGTGACGAACCCATGTCAGGTCTCAAGCACTCACATAAACGCTGTCAAACTTTTTGTTGACTCACGTTTGTGATTCTCGTTCACAGCTCAACCCAACCACGACCCCAACACACACCACTGCCTGTGTGGAGCCGATGGTAAGTCTTTACATTCACAGTCTGAAATGTAAAGTCAGTATCCAATAAGTGCAATAAATATGAACCGTTCACCTCATCCAGCCTGAGGAGTAACACTGCTGTCCTCCAGCGGTGATCCACTGTTGTTGTTTGAAGATTTTGTCAGATATAAATTACTGTCGTAATTTCCACCTTGTTGACGTGGCACTTCTTTATGTTGTGACCGGTCAGCTGACCTGATCATGCTGGGCCTGGCCACCCACGAGCCAAACTTCACCATCATCAGAGAGGAGTTCAAACCCAACAAGCCCCGTCCCTGTGCGCTCTGTGGACAGATGGGTCATGAAATCAAGGACTGTCAGGGGGCGTCCAGAGTGAAGCAGGGACAGGTGAGGAGCTCATGTTGGACCGCTGGATCTTAATTTGTGTTACACACAAACAGATGGTGCTGTAAATAAGATGTAACCCCTCACATTGTTTCCTTCTGTTCTTTCAGCATGATGAGTTTGCCGACACAGGGCCTGCGGCCGAGCAGGAGTTCATATTCATCAGACTCTGTGTGCTGCGGGAGGTTGGTTGTATATGCTCATTGTATTAAACTATTAGTTTTTATACAAGCAGCAGGTCGTTCTGACCCAAACATGAAGTTAGAGTGGAGAGATGCTTCTCAAAAATAAGTTGCAGCATAATTGTCCTTTGTGATTTACTTATGCAGATAATGTTTGAAGTAGAACTGGAACAGAAGCAAACTTTGGCCTCCGAAATAGTCACTGAATTCTGTTGTACGTTGGTGTTTTCAGTACCTCGCCAGAGAGCTGACCATGGCCAGCCTGCCATTTCCCTTCGACTTTGAGAGGAGCATAGACGACTGGGTTTTCATGTGTTTCTTTGTTGGAAATGACTTCCTACCACACTTGCCGTCCTTAGAAATCAGGTGAGCCTCAGGACACTTGTGTGTGTGTGTGTGTGTGTGTGTGAAGTGGTAGCAGTTATGTTTGTTGGTCTGAGGAAGCCAAACATCTCTGAGGTTTGTTACAAATAATTCTGCAGTGAGAGGAAGTTGACCCAGAAGTACGTTGAACTTCAGCTTGACTTAAACTTCACAGAAGCAGGGTTAATTTCATGACACCTGTTGCTTTAGTTAGTGCAGGTGTCTTCTCTGCTCTCTGTGTAGAAGACGACCTGATTTCTCACCTTTTGCTAATTGTAATGGTGTGTTCTCACATATGGAGTAAACGGCTGCGCCAGCTAGCCCTGTGCCCAGTTACGTTATGCTACATGAGGGAATTTCAAACAAACTGGAGAACAGTCTTACTGTCACAGCCTCCAGCTTCGCAGTTCTCTATGATGTTTCTTTAATTAGTTATTGGTAGCATCAAAGTCAAGAATGACATGTGGAAGCAAATTGCCAATAACTGACTGGTCACATACGGCATATCCCCAGAAGTACAGAGTCACAGAAGGCCAGATACAGGCACCTACTCTGTCTCCATGTGTGTGTGAATGCAGTGTAATCCTGACATTATTTCACTTTAGGCTCAGCCTGAAAACTGGTGTGAGAATCTCTGTTGTCTTGATCTGGCTCCAAATGCTTGTTGGGTACCTGCCAAATTTCCTGCTGCTGCCTAATATAAATCACTACCAGATTAAATGCACGACCCTGATTCTGATTTAAATGTGCACTGATTAATTCTTCGCTGTGTTTCCTCCAGAGAGGGAGCGATAGATCGATTGGTCGGCATCTACAAAGATGTTGTGCACAGAACCGGAGTGAGTATTGTCACTTAGCTGAGCACTGTAAGCAGTAGGCTCACACCCCATCACAGGGAAGCATGCTGGGAAACGCAGTTCAAGAGGCTCACCAAAAAAATGACCAGACCTGTGTGTTTCCATAGGGTTACCTAACGGAAAACGGCTTCGTCAACCTGGAGCGGGTCGAGTTGATCATGCAGGCGGTGGGCGTGGCCGAGGACAACATCTTCAGGAAACGCAAGGAAGATGATGTAAGGCACTTAGTTCTGTGTGATCACACACAGCTAGCTGCAGGTCGGCTAATGTGCCCCAGTGTAGACGATAAGTGGTGAATGTGTGACACTGGTTTGTGCCCATTTTACTAAGTCCATGTTTTCACAGTCACATTTTCTTTCTTGCAGGAAAATTTCAAGAGAAGAATGAAAGAGAAACGAAAAAGGATGAAAGTGAGTAAAACAGACTGATACTGCTGCTGGGGTATTCCTTTCCCCACTAACTGTCAAAACTGTACAAAGTCAGTGGGACTCTGCAGTGATGAGGATAAGAGTTTATTTCTCTTCATTTCTGTTTATGTTGAATCAGCTGACACTAGCGACATCTCTTACACTATGAAAATCTATGTAATTGTGACATTTTTTTTTAAATTAGTGCTTAACTAGCACTTTTTTCTTTTGTTCTTAATCTAATACGATCAGGAAAGGGATTGTTCTTTATAAAACTGTTTGCTAAGTGTGTTTGTCCCAGATGTTTAGGTTTTTTCTGCTGGTTTTCATCACGGAGAACGGTTTTGGTTGGTCTGTCATGAAAGGAACGATTTTAGCTGCCTCACAAATCCAACAAATGTGTCATTGTCACAACTTACAATTTAATGTCGCTAGGTGATGATACAGATTAAACATCATTCATATTGATGTTCAATTAAAATACCTTAGTTAATTAAATACATTGGTAAAGTCTGAGGTTCAACATGTATGTGATACAGCTACTGTAATGCTCAGTGTTGGTATTTTGAGTCTCTGTGCAGATGACGGTTGTTTGTTTGTTTTTTTTTTTTTTCTTCCTGTAACTGCAGGCTGAGCAGCAAGGCCCTGCCTACCTGACCACGGGCCAGTTCGCCCCCCAGGCCCTGGGGCGAAGAGACCGACCTGAGCCCGTCCAGAATGCCCGGCACCAGGCCTACGACATGAGGATGCAGTCCAGGGAGCAACACAACAAGGTATGACAGCTTGTTTATGCAGAACAGAGAATTTTTGTGCAGTTAATCATCCTAAAGTTTGGAAGTGCACAAACCTGTGATCCGGCAGGTGCTGAGTAGAACCATCTTCTATAGAGTCAGATGCACAAGTTACTGATCTGCCTGACTCACACTGAGCAAACTGAGTAAAACATAACCATGATAATGCACATCTATCCTGTATGTATGCGATAGTCATGGAAACGTAATGATTATTGCAGAGCTGCAGTCTAGATGAAGTTTGTTTGGGTTTTTTTTTTTTGTCCAACCAGGATGCTGCTCAGTCACTGAAGGCTCTGATGCGGAACGGAGGCAACGTAAGTTCTTATCCAAATGGAAGAAGGATGACGATGGTAGCCGTGGCGGGCACATACACATATACTGTGTCATGAAAATATGACTTGCTGGATTTTGTGTTTTAAGCCCTGAAACACTGACTGGCAAAAGAGAGACACTTAAAATTAGTTTCTGAAAATGGTACAACGGCTCATTTTCTCTGCTCCAAATGTTGATGTCATTTTGACTGATTATATTGGCAGTAAATTAAGATTCTTGAAGTTCCGTTTTGTTAGAACGGCTGTGGCACTGACTAAAAACATCTGCTTTGGTTTTTATTTTGTTTATATGTTTCTCGTCACCCTGTGCAGTCATCTGCAGGGCCCAGTGACATTGCAGAGAGCAGGGGGTTGAAGAGGAAAGCTGAGGACAGTGACAGCGAGCCAGAGCCTGAAGACAATGTCAGGTAAATCTTCATAAGTTGTACTGACTTCAAGCTGCTTCCTGAGTAATTATAACATGGTGAAAGCCCCCCAGGACAGAGATGGCTTGGAGCTGATCCTGATTCCATAAGGAGACGATGTGATCCAAGGGAGTCCTTGGATGAGGAGGGAGTGCAAGTGAAGCTGATGCTCACCTTGATGACAATACTGGTTATGACCCAGTTGTGTTCTGACCCTCATGAGGAGGGACTCAGAGGTACTGAGATCAGTCATGTAGTCAAGAAGTCGTGAGAGAGAGACATTGCAGCCGAATTGAGGATGGAAGAAAGCGAGTGGTGACAGAGTAATACTTACTTTTATTCAGTATCATTACTGACAAGATTGAAGTATTGCTGCATAGATCAGTTCAGTTCATAGAAAGCGAGTGGTGACAGAGTGAAACTGCAGGGAACTGAACTGATCAAAGGACAATGGACTTGGATGTTATATTTTACGCATTCATGTTGTACACAATTCTGCATTGTAAAACCCTATCCTGGACTAATATCTACAGTATGGCTTTTATATAGTCAGAAACAACACAAAACATACACAATTCATGCATAGCAGTTAGTTACCTTAGAAGTTAGTATCTTGTCATTCATATATTGTCACTGAGTATTTTCATAGCTCATCTCTTAGTAGAAGATTTTTGGCTAGAGCTTTATATAAGTAGTTTAGCTACATTACAAATGTCTTGTGTTATAGTTATGTTACATTTTGAATTCAGTTTCAGGATTGTGGTAGCAGTTATGTTTGTTGGTCTGAGGAAGCCAAACATCTCTGAGGTTTGTTACAAATAATTCTGCAGTGAGAGGAAGTTGACCCAGAAGTACGTTGAACTTCAGCTTGACTTAAACTTTACAGAAGCAGGGTTAATTTCATGACACCTGTTGCTTTAGTTAGTTCAGGTGTCTTCTCTGCTCTCTGTGTAGAAGACGACCTGATTTCTCACCTTTTGCTAATTGTAATGGTGTGTTCTCACATATGGAGTAAACGGCTGCGCCAGCTAGCCCTGTGCCCAGTTACGTTACGCTACATGAGGGAATTTCAAACAAACTGGAGAACAGTCTTACTGTCACAGCCTCCAGCTTCGCAGTTCTCTATGATGTTTCTTTAATTAGTTATTGGTAGCATCAAAGTCAAGAATGACATGTGGAAGCAAATCGCCAATAACTGACTGGTCACATACGGCATATCCCCAGAAGTACAGAGTCACAGAAGGCCAGATACAGGCACCTACTCTGTCTCCATGTGTGTGTGAATGCAGTGTAATCCTGACATTATTTCACTTTAGGCTCAGCCTGAAAACTGGTGTGAGAATCTCTGTTGTCTTGATCTGGCTCCAAATGCTTGTTGGGTACCTGCCAAATTTCCTGCTGCTGCCTAATATAAATCACTACCAGATTAAATGCACGACCCTGATTCTGATTTAAATGTGCACTGATTAATTCTTCGCTGTGTTTCCTCCAGAGAGGGAGCGATAGATCGATTGGTCGGCATCTACAAAGATGTTGTGCACAGAACCGGAGTGAGTATTGTCACTTAGCTGAGCACTGTAAGCAGTAGGCTCACACCCCATCACAGGGAAGCATGCTGGGAAACGCAGTTCAAGAGGCTCACCAAAAAAAAATGACCAGACCTGTGTGTTTCCATAGGGTTACCTAACGGAAAACGGCTTCGTCAACCTGGAGCGGGTCGAGTTGATCATGCAGGCGGTGGGCGTGGCCGAGGACAACATCTTCAGGAAACGCAAGGAAGATGATGTAAGGCACTTAGTTCTGTGTGATCACACACAGCTAGCTGCAGGTCGGCTAATGTGCCCCAGTGTAGACGATAAGTGGTGAATGTGTGACACTGGTTTGTGCCCATTTTACTAAGTCCATGTTTTCACAGTCACATTTTCTTTCTTGCAGGAAAATTTCAAGAGAAGAATGAAAGAGAAACGAAAAAGGATGAAAGTGAGTAAAACAGATTGATGCTGCTGCTGGGGTATGCCTTTCCCCACTAACTGTACAAAGTCAGTGGGACTCTGCAGTGATGAGGATAAGAGTTTATTTCTCTTCATTTCTGTTTATGTTGAATCAGCTGACACTAGCGACATCTCTTACACTATGAAAATCTATGTAATTGTGACATTTTTTTTTAAATTAGTGCTTAACTAGCACTTTTTTCTTTTGTTCTTGATCTAATACAATCAGGAAAGGGATTGTTCTTTATAAAACTGTTTGCTAAGTGTGTTTGTCCCAGATGTTTAGGTTTTTTCTGCTGGTTTTCATCACGGAGAACGGTTTTGGTTGGTCTGTCATGAAAGGAACGATTTTAGCTGCCTCACAAATCCAACAAATGTGTCATTGTCACAACTTACAATTTAATGTCGCTAGGTGATGATACAGATTAAACATCATTCATATTGATGTTCAATTAAAATACCTTAGTTAATTAAATACATTGGTAAAGTCTGAGGTTGAAGCATCTTTCCAGAAAATGAAGCTTAACAGAATTTATTGTATGCGAGAGTGAACTGTTATTCTGTGCAAGTTCCAGATCTGCTTTTGTCTGATTTAATGTTTGTAGTGTGATAGAGAGCAGCACTTTGTGCCGACTAATTCACACTGGAAATGGAAAGAATGGCAAAAGAAACTGCATAAACCTGTTGGTCCTGTGGGTATTCTATAAAAAATTACTAGCATCACAATCTCATCAATACAGGGAACTTTCTGACTGTGCGTGGTTAATACAATGCCTTAAAAGGGAGTCTTCCCCGACCAGCTTCAGTCAGGGAAGGTGGCGTTAACAAACAGAACCAGCGAGAGGTACTCATTAATGCCACAGTGGTGCAGCACAAGCTTTTTGACTCTCTGCCACCTCCCCTACACACACACAGTTCAACATGTATGTGATACAGCTACTGTAATGCTCAGTGTTGGTATTTTGAGTCTCTGTGCAGATGACGGTTGTTTGTTTGTTTTTTTTTTTTTTCTTCCTGTAACTACAGGCTGAGCAGCAAGGCCCTGCCTACCTGACCACGGGCCAGTTCGCCCCCCAGGCCCTGGGGCGAAGAGACCGACCTGAGCCCGTCCAGAATGCCCGGCACCAGGCCTACGACATGAGGATGCAGTCCAGGGAGCAACACAACAAGGTATGACAGCTTGTTTATGCAGAACAGAAAATTTCTGTGCAGTTAATCATCCTACAGTTGCACAAACCTGTGATCTGACAGGTGACGGAACCATCTTCTATAGAGTCAGATGCACAAGTTACTGATCTGCCTGACTCACACTGAGCAAACTGAGTAAAACATAACCATGATAATGCACATCTATCCTGTATGTATGTGATAGTCATGGAAACGTAATGATTATTGCAGAGCTGCAGTCTAGATGAAGTTTGTTTGGGTTTTTTTTTTTTGTCCAACCAGGATGCTGCTCAGTCACTGAAGGCTCTGATGCGGACTGAACAGCTCCCACCTCCCTCTGCACGTGATTAATATGGAAAGCAGGAAAATTTGAGTAAATTCCTCTGTGACGCACTCATCAAAGCTGCTAAATCCATCGGGCTAAATTGGTATTCATGGCGGCTTTCCTCTCAGGAGTCGGCACTCCCTGCGGGCCACTCTGAGGATCCACGACACAGATGCCGGACTGCCTTGATTATGTGTGCAGAACGGCATCGCCACCCCAAATCTAGCACGAAGTCAAAGCCATTAAATTATTCCAGCAGCAGTGAGGAAGTTGGTGCAGTGTTTCAGCCTTTAGATGAACAGAACAGCATCTGCAAAACTAGTTTATGAGCAGACGTGATGTTCTAATAGTGCTCTGCTGTGTCTGGGGGCCTTGGTGTGTTTTCATCTAAACGTTGCTGTCAACTAATTTTAACACAAATCCACCAAATTGTGAAGCTGATGCTCAGATGTAGTGACTCAAAAAAAAAAGTACAGCTGTGTTTGGAATGAAAGCTTCAGGCCATAGTTTTGTCCGTGGCGAATTTTGTGGTCATTCACAGTTTCAGCTAGTTTTCTCCAGATTTGTCTTCTGTCTAATGGGAGAAAATCACCTCTGGATGCATGAGCTGGGAACCACTTTTGAAGTTGTCTTTGTTTAAATGTTT